CCACCTCCCCCCTACGATTATCAATGAATTATTGCGGAATCGGTTGCCGATTTTCCTCCCCTCTTCACTATAAAATAATAGACACATTTGTCAAAATTTGTACTCATCGATCCCCCCCAACCTATCGATTCTACAATAAAACGATAGAGGACTTTTTTGTAGTCCATTAAATTACCCACAAAAATGATTTTTTGACATTTTCCTCTGGTATCGATAGTTTTCTATATAAGTCGATATTTAAAAACCCCGAAGATTCAAATTCCTGTTTCTGGTTTAATTCAATACTGGAGTATTATATTTATAGCGGCTGGCAATTAATTAGGAATCTGGAAATTCAGAGCGTTAATTTTAGACGGAGTAGTATCATCATTGCTATTATTATTAATTATTTAGTGTAATTATCATCAATAGAGGATTGGGATTTATCAATTAATATCGATTGATGGGGATTGTTCAGGAGTTTCAGAGAATGAGTCTTTCAATTTTTGAATATTTTAATTTAACCATTTCTGAGTAAGTAGCCTTCCATTTCCATGTATGAATGATAGTATATGAACTATTTATGAATATCCTATTTACAAAAATACTATATTTTAAAATACTGAATGTTCACTAAGAAATGATGTATGACAAGCGATTTTTTATATAGTCCAATTGAAAAATGAGTGTTTTGATGATTTTGTAATAGATAAATAATTCAATAGTTCAATAATTTATTGTGGATTGGTTGAATTTTTGTAATCGATATGAGCAATTTGAAAAGCCCTGGCAGGCCAAATCTGGCTAGGCTCGCGCCTTCTGCTTTGTCTCTCGTTACGTAACACCTCAATGACCCAGTGATAAATCTCAGTGGTTGTAAATCATTGTCGCCTATTTGAGAATATTAATTATCAATTACGAGATTTAGCCAATTACTCGAAATTGTTTGCGGTCGAATCGGTTGAATCATTAGGCAGTGGAATGGTGTCGATTTCGTTTGTTATTAATTGCACTATTTCTTGGCTAATGATTTTATCCGCCTACTTGCGATGATGCACCGACCAAATCATCGCCGAGGGTCGGTCAAGGCCATGTGGACCTCGGGGACGATTCCAGACACGTGGGGAGTTTAAATAGAACTTGAAGTTTGGAAAATCGGGGGAAAAGTCCAGTGTCAAAAAAATTTTTAGTCAATCGGGGGAGGGCATTACTAATTAATATAATAGAACATGATTAATTGATAAAATAATTGATAACACTTGGAGGTTTTATGATCTGATGAGAATATATTCAAAATTGTAAAAAATGGGGTTTCGTTTTTTTTTTATTTGTTAAAATTGATGATTAGAGTTTGTTGATAATTTTGCGAGTGAAATATTTGCAAGAAAAATTAATTCATCTCGGAGAAAGAATTCATTGGTCTATTCAGGAGAAAATCTCATCTATTTACACTTATTGTTAAACAAAAAGTTGTGGAAAAATGTTGAAAAAGTCTATTTATTTATATATAAAATTTATTATATATTTCTATAAATTTATATATACAGAAAGTTTATTTATTTTTAATAATCATTTTGGATCTTCAGAAAAAAAATGTTTATTTATAATTCAATCAAAAATCGAGTAATTAAAAATTGAGAGGTAAATTTTGTGCCATTGGATGTGGATACATAAATATATATATTTTTAATAACCGAGTGTTAAAAATCTTCTGCAGATTTTTGGAACTAGAATGGAATGAAGCTCTTTAGGGGGTGGCGAACTTATTGTTATCTTGTATTTACATATTTCTCGGTGTTATGCTGAACTGAAAACACAGAATTTCACGGACACAAAATTAGATTCAGTCTATTTTAAAATTCCGGGGTGGAGCGACCGAATTGCCACGAGTTTCCGCGGTAGCACAAACCTCAAAGAATTAAAAATTAAAATAGATTTTTTTTTTCAACTTTGAGACTCAAACAAATACCCAATACCCACCAAAAACCCTAGAATAATAATTACTCATTATTACATAATTTTCTCACAACTATTAAAATTGATATTCATTTTATAATATACTTGGAAAATATAAACCATTTATAAAAAATTGACATTAACAAAAACATTTTCAAAAAAATGATAAAAAACATTAATTTTACTCAAAAAAAAAAAAATCTTTGCCAACGAATTCAGCAAGTTAGCGAATGCAAAAGTGCAAAAAACCGATTATCCCAACAATAAAACAAAAATACCCTCACCCCCTCCCCTCCCCACCCCACCCCCTCGCTCATTTCCTAGATTTCTTCTGGCATTGCAACTCAATCCCCAAATAGCTCTCCCCAAAAACCCCTAAAAATAAAAATAAACAATATAATTGCAGGTAACAAGTAGAAGATCAGGTGCTGAAGTGTGCGATTGTCTGGACGAGAAAAAAATTTAAAAAAAAACCGATATCGATTGAAATGTCGAGGCCAATATTGAGCAGGCCGCGTACACGCGTCTACGGATGCAATTACGATAAAGGAGAGTCATACTACAAACCAATGGTGGATCACCTGGATCGCAAGTACAGCGGAAGGCCATTATTTCCAGAAGCTAGGACATCCCTTGCTGATGAGATTGCAGCAAGACGTAGCGACATCGGTAACATCTTCAGTCGTTTACCAAAATGGTTTTGAGGAATGTCGAGTATGATGATGTCCACGCCCTGCCCCGCATCCAAAAAAAAATCCCCAAAACAATAAATCGGGGAGAAAAACGAGAGATTATTGCTAATTATAATCGATAATTGCCAACAAACAAAAAGCGGAATCTCAAAAAATTGTCGAATTTGCGAAAAATCCCGTAAAATCTGCAAAACTAGCTGACAAATTAAAATTTCTTTAATGACCTTTTTTGTGGAGCTCGTTGAGAGCTAGATAATAGGTCATTACAATAATTGAGCTGTCTCGTCTGGTTTTGGAGATATTTGCGAAAAATTAAGACCTTGTCATTTTTTCTAGTTTTAATATTTCACAAGAGATTTCGAAAGGCGTTTTTCTCCTCTGCCTGGCAAATATCCATTGAATCCCACGCAAAATCCTTTTTCTTCACGGACCTCTGGCTGGCATGACACCCCAATCCCCAAGAGTGAATATTCGTCGGAATGATTTTTTTTTCTCTCATCTTGCCTCTTATCGTTGCATCCAGCCAAATGTTTTTAATCTCAACGGAGTTACGTCTATTGAGAATGAGATCCTCGTAGTTGGAGAAATTTTATTTTTTTTTGTCGAGAAAATTTCATTAATACTGTTGTTGTCCATAATCATTGTACAAAAATTTTGATTGACTGTTCAATAAATTGATATCTTGTGAATTTTTCTAAATGATATGGTTTAAATGGAGTCAGTGCGTATTTTGGAGAAACCCTTCAACTTTTTTTTCCATGGATTATGCGAGAGAGATCGAGGGAGAGTTATTCGTCATCTGGGAGTCAAGAGTTTATCGTTTATCAGTTATTTTATCGATTTATTTTTGTTGTCTAGGATATCATTGATTATATGGATTTATTATTTTGAGTTCCTGCACCTGTCGATTATCCCCTAGCCCCTGTCCGATCTACTGAAAATTCAGAGGATAAATGAAGAGAAAGAGAGAAATCAATCGGGGAAATAAATCAATGCCCAAAGTCCCTAAAGTGATCCCCAATTCTGTTGGTGTCGTTATACTGTTGAAAATTTCGTGAAATTTCAGTCACAAAGTCGTCAGAATTTCCAATTATATCGGTATCAATGTAGATTAAATGAAAATTTAATTAAAATTCTTACTAAATTTCTCATTTGTCTTGAAAATCGGGGAAGATCCGGTTTTTTATGTTGAATAATTGATTTTTCAATGAAAACTTGAATTATCAATAAATAGAAAATTCAGAGAAATCATTGCGCGGATTTTCCACGTTTTCAAAATTCAATCTGAAATCCGAGAATTAGCAGAATTATTTTATGCAAAAAAATTAACTCATCCGGCAATAAAGGATTTCTCGTTATTAATAATTGCAATGTTTCTGATTGAAAATTTCAAGTGTCATTTTCCGACAGTGTAGCGAAACGTCACTCTTCAAAATTTTCCTCAAAAACTTCAAACCCCTAAAAAAAATCCCCCATTAATAATTTTCAAGGTCTCGGAAATTTTAATAATTTAAACAACTCAAAAGAGAATAATCAAAAATTTTCAACAGTCAGTCCTTGATGGTCCTTGAACCACTCCGCAACCGATACACGGCGAAAAATTTCCACTAAAATTTACCCTGACACACGGTAATATTGCAATTGGAAAATCTTACTGGACAATCTCAGTAAAAATGCTCTAAAGTTGAGTGAAGTCCAGGTTAAAATTAGAGAATTGCCTGAATTACTGAGGGTCAGAGTTAATTTGAGGGTCATTAATAAATTTATCACCGTGTTCACCTGAATGTGTACATGTCTCTCCACTGGGTTTTTGCAGGCAGCCGGGACTTGGCGGGTCCTAGAGCGAGCACCTACGCACGTGACCTTGACCTCGAATTTGATACACCTCGACCCCGCACCCAAGCCCCAACCCTGTACGAGGACGACGAGGACACAGTGTACGACATACGCGGCCAACGGACAAATCGTCGCAACTTGTCCGACGATTTTGCAAGTGAAATTGCCGCAACGACGCGCCGTTTCAAAGCGCACGCGGCAAGTTTGAGTTACGACAGCGAGCACTACGACGATTTGCGACGCAGTGTGACGGATAGACGTCAGGATGTCATGGAGAAAGTGACGGAGTCGGCGAAGAGTGCCCTCGAGGAAGCAGACGTGGCATTCAAGAGACGATCAAAATTGCTGAGCGATACCGAGGGTGAGAGAAGTGCAGCGATGACGAGATGGTCCAAATTGGCTGACGTAGAGACGGAGACGTCGGGTGCTGCGTCGCGCGCACGTCAAACTAAGGCCCGGCTCAATGACCTTGAGAGTGAAATGGAGGAAATGGCGGAGAGACAGGCAAAGCGCGAAAGACGCGCTGCAGCTCTCAGGGCGATGGTCAACGAGACTGCGACAGCTGATGATTTTGTCCAGGAAGCCGTCAAGAGCGTCAAGTGCGAACGCAGCGAGAAGCATGTGTCCTTTTAATTTTCACCCTCATATCACCTCCTTTTATCTATCACCTCTCTGTTATCTCTCTTTCTCTATCACTTTCTCTCATCTTTCTTCTTATTCTCTCTCACTCTCTCATTCGATTTTTCTCATTTTTCATCAATTACGAAATTGAATTGCGCGCCACTCGTGTTCCAGATGGCGCGACCGTCTAATCAATGACATGAGAAAATTCATAATTTCTGGTATTTAATGAATCGATGAGTCATCAATGTCATGTCTCATTTAGAAGAGAAGAATTTTAATGAGATATGATTTATTCATCCCTCGAGTACTTTCTGGTATTGATCTCCAGTGATTACAGACTTGAATCGGATGTTGTTGGTCGCATGAAGAGGGAATCCCCGGCTTTTATATTTTGTCAGTTCGACGGTAAAGGAAAGAGGAGAGGTGAAATATATTAAAATGTGAGAAACGAATGACTTGTGTGACTTCCTAGCAATAGGAAATCTTTTTCTCTGTTCAGCTCAATTGAGATTATATGAATTGATATGAATTATCCTGAATTATCCTGAATTCACGGCTTCATATATGTAAAATCCCAATGCTCGTGTGCCCCATTTTCGTCTTTACGATAAATAAATGATTGGTTATGGAAATGAAGAGATGTTGTTTATTATTACGTTCATGTGATCCTGACGCACGTGCATGTGTTAGAGTTGAGTAAATTATTTAAATTTCCTTGGGGGAGATCAAGTGGGGGCAGAAGGTAATGATGACCAATTTTAGGATCGAGAAGTTTGTCAGGAGCAATGGGCGAACTGTTTGACGATGACATGGATCACTTGTGGGAGGGGTATGGCAGACCTATACCTGAGGAAGAGGTTGAAGAGGGTTTTGTCCCCCTCCAGCGGAGGGTCAAACAGCGATTGGCTGATTCCTTCGAGGAAGACTTGGCTGAATTACGGAGGAAGCGGCGGGATCTTCAGGTACTGACAGTCATTTTTCACTTATTATGACAGTTAATGTCTCGCGTTTTTATGCTCCGTCCCCGCATTCATGAAATCTATTGTTTGAGATTTAGACACGACGTGGTGGTGGCGGGCCGGTATCGTCTTACGGGTCTTATGGTCATTCGAGATATTTCGAGATATTTCGAGATATTTTGAGATATTGCGATATATTTCTAGATATTTCGAGATCGATTACCTTTCTCCTTTTTTTTTATAAGAAAAGGCAGTAAATTATACATTAAATCATTCTTTCCATGTTTTCCTTATCAAAAAAGCAATTTGATTCCAAAATTTTTGCGATTTTGAAAATTTTTGACATTTTTTGAATTTTCAAAATTCCGCTATAACGTCATGGTGGCGGGTCTGTTTCTTTACCCTTAGTCTCATTCGAGATATTTCGAGATATTTCGAGATATTTTGAGGCCGATTCCCTTTCTTCTTTTTATCTGAGGATCTAAACAAAAATGGTTTCTCCTACCGAAGAAATTAAATATTTTTATCATATAAATTCACTTGAGCCGAGTAAAAAAAAATCACTCATCCACCGATTTCCAGGACCGGCTGTTCGACATGGTGGACATCGGAGCGGAGATCGAACGAGCGAAGCAGACGTTGGACAATTCGAATCTTGCCTTCGAGAAGCACGCACTCAAATTCGATAACAAGGATATCCCCGACGCGGAGCCGACAAATCTTATCGCACGTCTGGAGAAATCACGAAAGCTCCAGATGAGCAGAGAGCAGAGATCTGAGGAACCACCGATGATCAAGTGGTCGAAATACGCGGAGATGAGGAATGATCTGCCGAGACTCATTGGCGACAAAACTCGTGTCATGAGTTTAGAGGCACCCATACCCCAGGTGGTACCTGAGACTGCCAATCACGATAAGCCAACTGAAAAGCGACGCAAGAAACGATCACTTCTCAAACGCAAGAAATCAGCACTCTAGATTCATTCGACTTTCGTCATTATCTCGGTAATTGGGGAACTCACCACGAAATAAATGTGTGAATTTTTTCGAGCATCGAATGCAGACAAAAAATATTTTCATTTCCGCCAATTTTCTGGGAACATAATGAAATTAAATTAACTAATTAATTTTAAAAAATGGCTAATTGAAATTGAAAAATTAAAAAATTTGAATTATTAATCCATAAATTAAACATGTATTCACCGGAATGTTATGTAATTATAAATATAATTATATGATGATAATTATGGGATGATTGTGGGATTTTTTTCAATTAATCATTCAGAGATGATTGGAACAACTTAT